ATTTTTACTTTTCATCTTGTTTTCCCACTCCCTTCATCCTTACTTTCTACTCCATCTAACAGGACAAAGGTCAGCAAACAGTGGCCTGGGGCCCACATCTGCCCTGCTGTGTGTTTTTGTAAATAAGGTTTGATTGTAACCTGGCTGCTGTCCTTCATTTGCATATTATCCATTGCTGCTTTTGCCCTTTGTGACACCTCCATCACCAGAGACCATTTACCCAACAAAACCTAAAATATTTGCAGAACAAGTTTACCAACCTCTGCAACAGGAAGTCACCTGTGTACTATGACCCAGCTTCTGTAAGAAGACATTGCATAGGTCCGGGGATTTAGCTCAGTGTTTGTGCTGCCTGCCTTGCAAGCACAAGGACCCAAGTTCAATCCCTGGTACCAAAAAAGAAGACATTGGATAGGTTTTGCTGGTTAGACTTTGAAGACATTTTGGGGCTATAAAAAATGTAAAGTAAGTAATTGGTTTTAGGTAACTTAACCTATCACATGATAATGTTTAATGTGCTAATACATATACACAAATAAACTAAAATCTTCAAGATTGAAAATACTGTGGAATGACTTTTTCTGATGTACACATGTACAAACTTTAAAAGTTTGTTTGGCTATTGGTTCTTTGTTCCTTTTACATGTGTGCTGTTATTGTTCTCAGTACAGTTTGCTATCCGTGCTTCTGTGTGTGTATGATTCTTGTCCTCTTTTCCAAGGAGATAACGAACACAGGTGAGTCCAAGGAGCTTCTTGGCACCACAGCTGTACCAGATAGGATTATTCACTTGGTCTTTATGCCAAAATGCATTGGAGACCTCTAGTCATACGAGATCATAGGCACCACAGGAAAATAATAAAGAGTGCTTTAAAAATAGGAATGCAAGGTGGGAAGGAAGATAGAAGATACTACTGCTGGGTGCGTAGCTCAGTGGTAGATCACTTGTGTAGCACACACAAGGCCTTGGGTTGGATTTCTGCAACACACTCACACACACATACATACATACATACATAATACATACATACACACGCGCCTGTGAAAACATCAGCCATTAAGCAAGGCAAAAAAGGAAATATGAATTCTAAGCCTCTTTATTTCACGAGCAGAAACATTCTACTTTGTCAGGAAATATAAAATAGACACTGGACTCAAGAGGCTTAAGGCAAAATATTTCATGTTTACATTGAATTTAAATGTACTAGCTAAAATAAGATATCATTAAAATTAATTTCATCACTCTTTAATGTGGCTACTAGAAAATATATATTATTCAGAGATTAAGTTTTGCCAGCCACTTAATGAGTATACATGCAGATGCCCCCATCTTAGAAAAATTTCTCAAAAATATTGATCACAAATTTAAAGTAAACTGTTTCATGCTCTTAAAAACAAGGTATCATTTGCCTTTTTCCTGAAATTATGCCTGGCTTGATGACAGATAGCTTGAATTGTGTTCAGGTTCCAAATATGTAATTTCTTTTCTTATTCATCTAACAAATTAGAAAATACAAGTCACAATTACAGATAATTGGAAATGTTGGCAAATATCCAGTGTCTTTGTCAGATGGTTCTGAAGAGCCCGACCAAGTGAGCCTATAAATCGTAACCCCACTGACAAGTCCTTTTGGCCCCCTAGAGCATCCCATAGCAATGCTAGAGGACTGCATTTCATTTTGGAAGATTCTTTCAAGTGCTTATCTAATCTATTCTTTGGTTAGATTGTTCCTGAAACATATTTCTTGAGGTCATCTACAGCCTTTAGGTAATGACTTTTAAGTAGATCACTCTCTTTTGCAGCTTTTGAGCTACCTCCCTCCGAAATCAAAAACTCAGTTCCATCAGAGCCACAATGCATTGGTCGTGTGACTTTTTCACTCTCTTGCTTCCCACCCATGATCTTGTATCCCCTTTACCCTCCTGGAGTCCACGCACCAGCAGCGTAGTCACCCCTCTCACTTCCCATACTTAGATGGCAATTTCAGAGCGCTGGCAGAATTCACATCTAGCTACTTTGTGCCACCCTGGCGCATCTCACCTTGGCTGGAGAAGAGCAGGCATACTTTCTGGTTTCATTTTTAAATCACGACCATGAACTTTAAGTGGGAACTTAAATGTTACCCAACAGCCATATTATGTTATGCATTCTCACTGGATTTTGGATAATCTCCTTCCTTAACCTTTCAACACTGCCTTTCTCAACTTTGGCTAGAAAAATTGAAGGAATAAGGAGCTTCCGCCAGCTCCCACTGCTGCCCTGGAGCTGGAGATGAACTGCCTGTCTCCTGCGTGGAGGCAGCCCTCCCACCCCTGTGTCAGATGTGTCCCCTACTGCCTCCTCAGCGGTGGGGCTCCAATAATTCCCGTCATCAGCTTAGCCCTCTCTGTTGGTCATCCCATCAACATGCAAGCCTGCTCTTACTTCTCCCATTATATATTTAAGAAAGCAGCATTTCCAATTTCATGTCCATTTCCTCTCTGTTGCCACCACTCCATGTCTCTTCCGTCTACAACCGTTCTTAAGCATCATTTGGTGTCCATTCTTGTGAAGACCGGTTTCTCCCTTCTGGGTTTCCCTTGAGTCCAGTTCAGTCAGATGTTTGACACAGCCATTCCACTTCCCTTACCAAAGTCCCCAGTTCAAACCTTCAGTGTTCCGCCCTCACCTCTGTCCCATCAGCAGCCTTCAGCATCACACTCATTCCTTGAAGCACTAGAATCACCTGTCTCCCAGTATGCACCTCCTTCCGGTTTGCCTCACTGCCCTGGCCAGTCCTCTCAGTGACCTAGGGTTTCACACCTCAGACCTCTTACTTGTCGACACTCAAGACCACATTCTTCAGCTCAGTGGTTCTACCGCCTGCCTCCCAAGTGCAAGGTTCTGAGTTTGATCCCTGGTACCAAAAAAAAAAAAGTCATAGTAATATCTATGTTCTCATGATGCCTGGGTTTATTATTTCCAACCAGGCCTCTCTCATGACCTCCACATTTATATATCCAAATAAATGAGAGCTTTCAGGACACCTTCATTGCCTTGCATGCCCAATAGACTTTCAGGCTTAGGCAGTTAGGACTGACTCCTGGTCCTCTGTCCACCTCCAAGCCGGCATCATGTCAGTTCCTGGTAGTTTATTCCTTCAGCTGCTCAGGCCACACTCCTGACACCTTCTATCATTTTCAGGCCCTAGCTATATCATACATGAATTTCTCCAGGAGCCTCCTGACACTTGTCTCTGCCTTTACAGCTTGCGCTTTTACAGTCTTTATTGGAATCACATCTTCTCCAGGTTGACGGTCCTTCTCTTCTTTCTTTCTTCTCACCCTACCTCGCCACACTGGCAGTATGCCAGGAAGTGCTCACACTTTGCACAAACTGGTGCCTGTGTCTAGAATTCTGAGTTTCGCCCCAAGCTACTGAGCAGGACACGCCCTCACCTACATCCAAGGTCACCTTCTCAGTTCCCCCGCGGGTCTCCCTGCATGCTCCATTCCCCTCACCCTGCCTATTTTCAGTACCACTTTCCATTTAATGTATTATACTACAGTCTTCCCATTTATTGAATTTATTATCTATCTCCTGCTGAAATGTAACCTTCAGGAAGACAGATTTCTGTGGGGGTTTTTTTTTTTTCTGTTTATTGTTGAATCTCCAGCATCTAGAAAAATGCTTCCACCTTGGACATGGTAAAAAAAAAAAAAAAATGTGCTGAAAGTATAGATGAAAGTTTCCATCTTTCTCCTTGATGCCTCATAGAGACATACAGAGTCCTGCCTCATGATAGCTTAAGTTTCTCTATCATTATATCATAAACAGATATCAGAAAATAAGTACTAAAACACTGTGCCATTCACTTGATTACAGAGGGTCTATTATTTTTTTCTCATTGAGTTTATTGGTGCATTTTAGGTATACAGTATAGTTACATTCATCATTGGGATCTTGTACCTTTACATGACAGGTCTTGGTTCTCATTTTTTCCCCTTATCCCTGCCCTCCCTTCATCCCTTCCTTCCTTCCCTATTTACAAATACTTTATTTCCATTTTTTCAGGTTCTATTATTTTCAAACTAAAAACAATTCTAGAATGTATCAGCAGTATCGTTAATACTGAATTTGCTCAAACAACCACAGAGGTCCTTGATGTTTTTAGAAATACATTCACAATTCTTCACAAATCCCCCAAATTGTGGATATCACAATAAAAAAAATTAAAAAAAAAAGGAGCAGTGGAGTTGTAGCTGCTGTACAGCCAGGTGGGCTCAAGTCCTGGAGGGAAGCTCACTCTTCAGCCCAGCTCCTGCGCTTGGGTGACACTCGTACCTCTGTAATTCAGCCCTTACAGCTCATGAACCCTCAGTGTTTCCCTTGAAACCAAGAATTTCAATCCTGTAAAAGCCAGTGACTCACCATTTTATTTTATCCTGTTGATTGTAGTACTAGAGCTCAAACCCAGGGCCTTATGCATACTAGGCAGACATTCTACCACAGAGCCACATCCCCAGCCCTTATTTTATTCTATTTTAGATATTAACTTTAAAAAATTAGTTCTACCAGGCTACTGGGCCTTGGCTTTAGAATGTAATATGTGTGGGTGTCATTATTACAAGTAGATGACAGGTACCACTGTTAAAAGCAGAATGAACAGCCACAGTAAGTTTTTACTTTGAGTTCTAATGACAAGGGTCCATTCAGTGTGATTTGGGGCCTAATGATAAACCCTGAGTGTAAACAAAGAGAAAAGCCATCTTTGTTTTCATTTTTAAACTGATTTATTTTTAGATTATATAATATATATATATACATATTATTGCATGTGTACATTATTGTGTGTATTTTATATCTATTCCTATTTCATAAAGCCTTCTGCCTATAGTAGTTTTTAAGTGATGAGCAGGAATCTTTGACAAAGGGTTGGCATAAAGAAGAAGAATGCTGTCGCCACGGTGACAGCTGTCCAGCGTTACCATCTCACATCTCTTCCATTTATCATTTTTAGGGCAGTTCAAGCTGCTGGAACAAGACCGCGATATAAAGGAGCCTGTGCAATATTTCAACAGCGTGGAGGAGGTGGCGAAGGCATTTCCTGAGCGCGTGTACGTCATGGAGGAAATAACATTCAACGTGAAGGTAGCTCTTGGAGAACCAAATATTTGTCCACCCTAAAATGATTTAACTTCCAAGTCTGTGTGCCCACAGCGGGCGTATCTGTGTGCCTCCTGGGACACTTCCGTCTTCCGGTGGGTTCATGCCGCGGCAGGACTGCGTGTGTTACACCGACCTAACTCCTGACAACATACGACATTCATTAGCATTATCTCCTGTTAGAATTTAAAACTGATGAAGTCAAAGTTAAAACTGCTATACGAAAATATGACGAGAATCGCTGTAGTTAGACACTGAGATATTTAGCATCTCTCTTCCAGTGAATGGATATGCTTGTAAGTGCCACAGATGTATTATTTACACCACAGATAATTTTTCCCACTCTGTGGCTTACATTTTATCTTCTTAATGGTTTCCTTTGAAGAAGTTCTCAATTATACTATTATACTAAATAATTCTAAATTATTCTATAATAATTATAAAATTATTCAAAATTTTATCCTTGTTCAATGAAACTGGAATTATTTAGATTTTGCCCTTCACATTTAACTCAACAGTTTAGGTCATTTGGTTTTTTCACTTATGTGGCAAGGTAAAGCCAACATTCTTTTACCAGTGAGTTTAATATCACTTATGTAAAAGAAACTATCTATTCCACAGTGCCACCATTAAATTATATCGTGTGGTTTTTTGTTTTGTTTTGTTTTTTGGTACCGGGGATCGAACTCAGGTCCTTGTACTTGCAAAGCAGGTGCCTGAACCACTGAGCTAAATCCCCAGCCCCTTATCAGTTGTGTTTATATGTGTCCGACTTCTCCTGGGCTCTAGTCTGTTAGCTAATCTAATACTATTGTAGATGGAAAAACCTTTTCAATGTTATTTTCTAACAGTTTTTGCTAATATTCAGAAATAAAGCTGACACTAAAAATAAATAAATAATTGCAAAGTTAACTTTAGTCCCTAATGTGTATCAGTTCTTTGACCAAATGTGCAGACTGAGTACTATACTGTTAGGGGCGGAAGACTGATAATGAAATGAATACCAAACACTTAGGCTTCCGCAGGTCAATCTCAACTACATAGTGAGACCCTGACTCAAAAAACCAAAGAAAGAAAAGACTCCCAGAGCCTGCCTGAGATGAGCACGTACTCAAAGCCATCCCATTTCCGTATACACAGGGAAAACTAATAGATAGATTCTTTCCTGGAGAATACTGAGAAGGCATCTGCTGTGCTTCATTTGCTTTGCAATCTTAAAGGAACAGTGCGGCCCCCTTCCACGTGTGGAGCAAGTGCCTTTGACCAGCCTTGCTGTTGAAGCAATGACACTGAGTAGAACTGGTCATTAGCACCAGCGCCTCTGCTCTTCGGCAGCACCCACAGTTACACTGAGACATTTTAGTAAATGCTCATGTTGAAAAGATTCTCTGTTTAATCTCAGTTCCACAGGAAGTCCAATTAATTCTTGTTCTCTGAACCATTCAAAGTTTAGGGGGCAAGGTTGCTACTTCTTAGAAATCTTCCCTATGTGAATAAGAGACTGCATGGTATCTCGGGCCAGGAATGCGTCGGTGTTGTGTCATTCTGCCCACATCTCCAGGAAATGCAGGGATGCCCAAGCAGCCTCCTCACTGGAGAAACACTCCTGCCCGCTCTGTCCATTCTTAAAATACAGCTGCTGTGGTCTGCTTTACCCAGGATTGAATTCGGGCCCTTGTGCTTATGAAGTAGGCGGTGGAACCACTGAGCTAAATCCCCAGACCCTGCTTTCTTTAGTTTCATAATATGATGAGTGAGATTTTGTATTTTGTAAAATCTTTTGCTAAGTAAATTCTACTTATATACAAAAATATTTGTACAATTTTTAATTCCTTCAGTGATCCAGTACAATAGTCAAGACAACTTGTATTCATTTGCACTGAAAGTTTGTGAGAACATGTTTTTCATTTTTAAACTACCAAGATTCATTGATTCACAGGGAGATAAAGCTTTTTGTTTTGTTTTGTCTTTGTTTTTGTGGTGCTGGGTATCAAACCCAGGACCTCAAGCATGTTAGGCTTCCCAGCCCTGGGATATTAACTCTGATTCCATTAGTGTCTTAGTATGATTTAAATCTTACCTTAAAACTTATACTTAGGGCAGGGATATGGCTCAATGGTAGCCTGCTTACTTAGCATGTACAAGGCCCTGGGTTTGATGGCAGGGGACAACTTTATATTAATAATCCCAGACATTTGAGAGACTGAGGTGTGATGATCAAGGTTGAGGCCATTCCGGGTGATATAACAAGACCCCATCTGAAAAAATAATTATATTTAGAGTTAACTAAGTGAAAAAATTGTCTAATTAGAGAAAATTGGTACTTTGAAGGTCTCTTCTAAAACTATTTCATCTGATAAGAAATGATTGGAAATCATAACATTTTTATGACTTTAAAGATTTCCTCTAGCATTAAAATTTAACATTCCGTTTTTGTCACATATTGTTCACATGCAGTATTTTTAAAAGATTCTAGCAGTCTTTTTAAATTTTGTATTAATCAGTAATGATTAGAAAGATAATACTGAAACTCATTTTTTATAGTTTTTTTATACAAAATACTATATTTAAATGTATTCGCTAAAATGTATATAATGGAAATGTCACTTAAGAGTTCAAAGGCACAGATCAGTGTATCAAATGTGTTCTTATAGCATCCACAAAGCTAATTAGATTGTGGTTGAGTTCCATGCTGGGCGAACATACATTTTTAATATCTCTAGTCTATTACTTACAAAGTTTTAAGAGCCATCACATCAAGCTTACATAAATCATTAAGACATTATTCAATTCTGTTCAAAGAATGGTTGTTATAGGAACCTCAGGAAATACATTAAAGAAATGTACAAAAGTTTATAAACATCCAAATGCATAAATGAAATGAGATGAGCTGCTTGGGTGAAAAGTAAGTATTGGAAGTCACAGTCTTCTTAAAAATATACATGATTAGGGGCTGGGGATTTGGGTCAGTGGTTCTACCACCTGCCTTGTAAGCACAAGGGCCTGCGTTAGTTTGATTCCCGGCACAAAAAAAGTATGTATATATATATATACATACATACATACATACATATACATATATATGTGATTATAATGTATTGAGAACTAAGGTACAGTGGAGAGAAAGAAATAGTTTGGTTATTACTCTCCCAGAGGAAAGTTTAAAAAAAAAGTTCTACCACCTGCCTTGTAAGCACAAGGGCCTGCGTTAGTTTGATTCCCGGCACAAAAAAAGTATGTATATATATATATACATACATACATACATACATATACATATATATGTGATTATAATGTATTGAGAACTAAGGTACAGTGGAGAGAAAGAAATAGTTTGGTTATTACTCTCCCAGAGGAAAGTTTAAAAAAAAAACAGTAGTATATCT